TGTCGTCATTCTTACATCGTTCACGTTATCCATATCTAGGTGTTGAAAGTGGGATGTCGTCATTCTTACATCTTTCACGTTATCCATATCTAGGTGTTGAAAGTGGGATGTAGTCATTCTTACATCTTTCACGTTATCCATATCTAGGTGTTGAAAGTGGGATGTCGTCATTCTTACATCTTTCACGTTATCCATATCTAGGTGTTGAAAGTGGGATGTCGTCATTCTTACATCTTTCACGTTATCCATATCTAGGTGTTGAAAGTGGGATGTGGTCATTCTTACATCTTTCACGTTATCAATATCTAGGTGTTGAAAGTGGGATATAGTCATTCTTACATCTTTCACGTTATCCATATCTAGGTGTTGAAAGTGGGATATAGTCATTCTTACATCGTTCACGTTATCCATATCTAGGTGTTGAAAGTGGGATGTAGTCATTCTTACATCTTTCATGTTATCCATATCTAGGTGTTGAAAGTGGGATGTCAAGTCATTCTTACATCTTTCACGTTATCCATATCTAGGTGTTGAAAGTGGGATGTAGTCATTCTTACATCTTTCACGTTATCCATATCTAGGTGTTGAAAGTGGGATGTCGACATTCTTACATCTTTCACGTTATCCATATCTAGGTGTTCTGTCTGTGTTTACAGTTGGTTACCACACTGTGCCCCGTTCCTCAAAGCGATCGTAGCGCTACTATGACAGTCGTAAGTCTATGTTAAAGTATGGAAGTTACGATCATCTTAACGCTTATTGTTTTGTGGAATGAGGCCATGGATGAAAACTAAATCTCAGAATATAAGCTTCATGTATGTCAGTGTTATGTGTTAATTGTAGATCATGATGGTCCGTAACTCAGCGATGCGGGATCCGAGTTCAATTTTCCAAAAATGGGCAACAGCAACTTCAAGGAAGAGCATGATGACTTGGGTCAGTCCTTTGATAGTGATCATAGTTATTTGTGGTGACTGGATTGTCATAAAAACTGTACTTCTAATGCACACTATTCCAAAAGTGTTAAAAAACATCTTTAAGAGAAGATATCTCGAAGATTAAAGAAAAGACACACAACAGCAAAAGACTTTCTGGACAAGCACATATTGAGCAGAAACTGATCCCAGCTCCATGGTGTACTTCGTGCTCAGCTTGGATACTGACACATAATTGTTTCACGTTTTTAAAAAAGACAAGGGAAATGATTTGCAAAATCAACTTTATTCATTGAGAGGTGAGATGAAAACACCTCTATTCCAGTTGAAATATACTATTGTTGGATATTCTACAAGGGTAAAAAGATGTCCTACTTGTAGTAACTGATGCTTCTGAAGACACCAGGTGTTTAACTGTCTGATGCCAACACCAGGTGTTCTGTCTCCTTGAAGCAGATAACACCAGGTGTGTTTTTCTAATGCAGACACATGCATAGTTCATTGTTTGATAGACACCAAGTGTTCACCTGTCCAACAGGCGAACTCCAGGTGCTCTACCTCATGCATACAGAACACCAATCTGTCCAAATCAAAGAGCATACCTGGTGTTCATCTGACCAATCAGACTGCACACCAGGTGTTTATTATCTAACCAAATGAGAAAGCACACCAGGTGTCTCGGAGTCCAAACCAGACAGCACACCAGGTGTTCAGCAGAGGAACTGGAGCCCAAAGCTCCAGAGTGAGCACAACACTGACATCACCGTCCATGTCGGTCAGTAAGACCTGCACCTTTAATACCCCCATGTTGATATGGTCCATGTGAAAACTACTATAGATTTCTTTGACAGCCATGACAATATGGCCAGTGTCATAGATGACCACAGATCAGTATGACCACCTTGTCTAGATCCACCCCATCCATGTCAATATGACCCCAACACACATACAAAAGCAGCAGGTCCTATATTAATCATGGATGCAGTCAACATGTTGGTCTTCAACCTACAATAACAACTACGGCAACACACGCAACATATTCCATGTCCAAGAAGCTGGAAGGGCAAGTCTTGCATACAGCCTCACCATTCCTGGTTGGCCCTACCAGGCATTGAGCAAAGCACTGGCGCAACAAGCACTGATGAAATCTGCTTCATGTATTTGAAAAATGTCTGCATACAACAGATTTAAGATAGCCCAAAGTAAGATAGTAACAGATTTTGCTGATTACCTTGGAAACAGATTCTTTGGAATAGCCTTACAACTGGATCCTGGATACATAATTAAAGAAAAATATACCATTGCCATGAAACAATGCATCTGAAATATGAATATTGGTCTGAGGCACTTCTTTACTTATCTTGTATATATGTGTGACACCAGCGGCCAGTGGCTCCTAACCTGTAATTTGGCATGCTGGAAACATCTGATACATACAAATGATTTCACAAAAATATTGTATATCATTGAAACATGTTTGATTGTAAACTACTATGACAACAATGACTGGCTAGGTCTAATTAGTTACATGGGTGTTCTGTGTGCTTGGCAATCATGTGATCCAACCAATCTCTCTTGCAGCAAGTTTACAACAGTGACTTTGAGAATTATACAAAAAATGAAAGAAATTATGTCTGCACTTGAGACTGGCATATAACATGCTCCAGACTAATGTTTCCCAGAGGGAGACATGTCAGGAATATCTACAACCAAAGACTTCTTAATAACTGCATAAAACACTCCTTCAGTGATCAGGGATGTTTTCAGGGCATACCTCTGCCTGTGTCCATCTCTCCACACACCCATGCTATCTCATACCTCTGCCTACGCAGGAAACGGTGTCAATTTCTAGATACAAGTACACTATCAGGCTTCAAGGCAAATATCTACAAACATGGTAATTGCAACATATGATGTATTTGGGATTACACTTTCTCAGTTAAGTACAAATACAAGCACTTTTGTTAGGTTGAGTCACATCCAGGATTCCAACCCAGCCGTGGTCGCTGGTAGGGTTACATCGCTGACATTGTGTGTTGTGTGGGTTTGAATCCTGGATGGGACTAAACCTAAGAAAGCACAACAATCTGTATTTTACAGAGAACGTGTAATCCTAAATATTACATAGGTTACATTTGACCACTTTCTAAATGACATTGTAAGTATGTCCTCGACTTCTCTCCAAACAACCACTGTACCTCCAGGACACTCATTCAAGAGATCACTACTAACTAGACTTGTACTTCACAATGCTTTATGTATAAAGGCAATCAAATGAAAGACAACGCGCTTTGCAATCTTTCCAAACCATAAATAGCACCTGAACTCAACAGGCCTTAAAGCTGCTCTTAGTACTATGGTATGAGTGAGTTGAGTCTAATGATACCATTAACAGAATATCAGCCATGTTACAGGCTGACAGTTTAGGGTGTTAACCACTTAAACATAATCACAGAGCATAGGTATGGTACAGACAAACCAACACTCATACCCATCTGGAATCTAGAATTCAAACCATACATGGCTGTAGGCCAATGATCTGAGGGCCATGTCAACCAACGGTCTAGTGTGGTTCCTCTGATAACTAGACTTGAGGGCCACATCAACCAACAGCCAAGGGTGGTACCTCAGATAGCTAGGCATGATGACCACGTCAACCAACAGTCTAGTGTGATACCTCAGATAACTAGTCATGACGACCACGTCAACCAACAGCCTAGTGTGATACCTCAGATAACTAGTCATGATGATCACGTCAACCAACAGTCTAGTGTGGTACCTTTGATAACTAGGCATGATGACCACATCAACCAACAGCCTAGTGTGGTAACTCAGATTAACTTGACATGATGACAACATCAACCAACAGCCTAGTGTGGTACCTCAGATAACTAGGCATGATGACCACATCAACCAACAGCCTAGTGTGGTACCTCAGATAGCTGGGCATGAGGACCACATCAACCAACAGCCAAGGGTGGTACCTCAGATAACTAGGCATGATGACCACATCAACCAACAGCCAAGGGTGGTACCTCAGATAGCTAGGCATGATGACCACGTCAACCAACAGTCTAGTGTGATACCTCAGATAACTAGTCAAGACGACCACGTCAACCAACAGCCTAGTGTGATACCTCAGATAACTAGTCATGATGATCACGTCAACCAACAGTCTAGTGTGGTACCTTTGATAACTAGGCATGATGACCACATCAACCAACAGCCTAGTGTGGTACCTCAGATTAACTAGACATGATGACAACATCAACCAACAGCCTAGTGTGGTACCTCAGATAACTAGGCATGATGACCACATCAACCAACAGCCTAGTGTGGTACCTGAGATAGCTGGGCATGAGGACCACATCAACCAACAGCCAAGGGTGGTACCTCAGATAACTAGGCATGATGACCACAGCAACCAACAGCCAAGGGTGGTTCCTCAGATAACTAGGCATGATGACCACATCAACCAACAGCCAAGGGTGGTACCTTTGTTAACTAGACATGATGACCACATCAACCAACAGTCTAGTGTGATACCTCAGATAACTAGGCATGAGGGCCACATCAACCAACAGCCAATGGTGGTTCCTCAGATAACTAGGCATGATGACCACATCAACCAACAGCCAATGGTGGTACCTTTGTTAACTAGGCATGAGGGCCACATCAACCAACAGCCAAGTTTGGTACCTCAGAAAACTAGACTTGGACACATCAACCAACAGCCACATGTCATATCTCAGATAACTAGGCATGATGACCATGTCAATGAACCCCTGATGTGTGGAACAGTGTCAGCCTACAGCCAAGTCATTTCCCTCAGTGTCTAACCTCACCCTGTATTTTCCCATGTCTGTATGTCAGACCTCACACATTCTTTATTAAACCAAACTGAATTAGTCGGACAGACCAGTGAGCCACAGGGGCTTTATGATGGTCTTGATAAACTGGTTTCTCATATTTTACAGTTTGGCACACTAAAAATTGGGACTTCATACATGATATTCGTTTGAACAAAGTTACTTGATTCTTAAATAAAACTTAACAGAATTAAAATCAAAGTTGTATCTACAATGCATAAGATAAATTCACAGTGAATGCTCTATATTTACAAATGTAATGACATACAGTACATAACACACCAACAACATGTACAAATATAACACAACCTTACCCAATTCACTCCCTCCCATGATGCAGCTGTCACTGGCTGTACGTACAGTCAGACCTTCACTGGGTGTGTCTACAGCCAGACTTTCACTGGGTGTGTCTACTGTCAGGCCTTCACTGGGTGTGTCTACAGTCAGGCCTTCACTGGGTGTGTCTACAGTCAGGCCTTCACTGGGTGTGTCTACAGCCAGACCTTCACTGGGTGTGTCTACAGCCAGACCTTCACTGGGTGTGTCTACAGCCAGACCTTCACTGGGTGTGTCTACAGTCAGGCCTTCACTGGGTGTGTCTACAGTCAGGCCTTCACTGGGTGTGTCTACAGCCAGACCTTCACTGGGTGTGTCTACAGTCAGGCCTTCACTGGGTGTGTCTACAGCCAGGCCTTCACTGGGTGTGTCTACAGCCAGACCTTCACTGGGTGTGTCTACAGTCAGGCCTTCACTGGGTGTGTCTACAGCCAGGCCTTCACTGGGTGTGTCTACAGCCAGACCTTCACTGGGTGTGTCTACATTCAGACCTTCATTGGGTGTGTCTACAGCCAGACCTTCATTGGGTGTGTCTACTGCCAGACCTTCACTGGGTGTGTCTACAGTCAGGCCTTCACTGGGTGTGTCTACAGTCAGGCCTTCACTGGGTGTGTCTACAGCCAGACCTTCACTGGGTGTGTCTACAGCCAGACCTTCACTGGGTGTGTCTACAGCCAGACCTTCACTGGGTGTGTCTACAGTCAGACCTTCACTGGCTGTACGTACAGTCTTCACACACACCAAACAGTGTTGGTGAGATGGTCTTCACACACACCAAACAGTGTTGTGAGATGGTCTTCACACACACCAAACAGTGTTGTGAGATGGTCTTCACACACACACACACCAGTGTTGGTGAGATGGTCTTCACACACACCAAACAGTGTTGTGAGATGGTCTTCACACACACCAAACAGTGTTGGTGAGATGGTCTTCACACACACAAAACAGTGTTGGTGAGATGGTCTTCACACACACCAAACAGTGTTGTGAGATGGTCTTCACACACACCAAACAGTGTTGTGAGATGGTCTTCACACACACCAAACAGTGTTGTGAGATGGTCTTCACACACACCAAACAGCGTTGTGAGATGGTCTTCACAGACACCAAACAGTGTTGGTGAGATGGTCTTCACACACACCAAACAGTGTTGGTGAGATGGTCTTCACAGACACCAAACAGAGTTGGTGAGATGGTCTTCACACACACCAAACAGTGTTGTGAGATGGTCTTCACAGACACCAAACAGTGTTGTGAGATGGTCTTCACAGACACCAAACAGTGTTGTGAGATGGTCTTCACAGACACCAAACAGTGTTGGTGAGATGGTCTTCACACACACCAAACAGTGTTGTGAGATGGTCTTCACACACACCAGAGTTGGTGAGATGGTCTTCACACACACCAAACAGTGTTGTGAGATGGTCTTCACACACACCCAACAGTGTTGTGAGATGGTCTTCACAGACACCAAACAGTGTTGTGAGATGGTCTTCACACACACCAAACAGTGTTGTGAGATGGTCTTCACAGACACCAAACAGTGTTGTGAGATGGTCTTCACACACACACCAGTGTTGGTGAGATGGTCTTCACACACACCAAACAGTGTTGTGAGATGGTCTTCACACACACCAAACAGTGTTGGTGAGATGGTCTTCACACACACCAAACAGTGTTGGTGAGATGGTCTTCACACACACCCAACAGTGTTGTGAGATGGTCTTCACAGACACCAGTGTTGTGAGATGGTCTTCACACACACCAAACAGTGTTGTGAGATGGTCTTCACACACACCAAACAGTGTTGTGAGATGGTCTTCACAGACACCAAACAGTGTTGTGAGATGGTCTTCACAGACACTTTGTTAAAGATAAAGAAAGGAAAACATAACTTTTAACCCGAGATAGTCACACTAACCATGAATAATGTGAATATCCAAACCTTCCATAAGAATTATATTTTCGGATTTGTTAAAATCTCCAGTGTGGCAACGTTACCTTCCCTGCAACATCTTTACAACTGCTCCATTTCTGTCCAGGGTTCTGGAACTTCATGCAGGGTCTCACCTCTCAGACCAGCAAGGCTACAAAGGTTTGTGGAGTACCTTATTTTCCCAAGTATAATGCACATATGTACACAAATGTTTGGCAATCGCCGAGGAAGAGAGCCCCAGAAGTACTTGACAAGTAGTTACAGAGATACACAATATCTGACCCATGCAATCAGCTGTACCAAAGAGCTATGCATATTATCATTAAAAAATATTTATTCAAACTAGGAACTAAAATTCAATATTGGAACACAATATTCCTGATAAAATAATAGCTCAGGTATAATTCTTCTGATCAATGCGACTAAATTGTTCGAAGTTATTTGATTGAGTATGTTATAAATGATTCTTCCGCAGATTAAGAGAAAACCTGCACAGCAGACTCCTTTTTTTCAGCTTAGATCTTGAGGAAATACTTCTTCGTACACAAACTTCCAGCAGAACAGGAGATATAATATCAATGGTAAATCATTATGTCAAGAGACATTTTATCTCAAATTTTAAATATTTTTAAAGTTATGATACCTGTTTGTTTATCCCTGAATTTGCTGAAGGGATACAATGTAGCTTTTTCTTTACATAATACTCAAAATCTATTTTTTAAAACTACTGAATTCCCTAGTGGGGTTGTGCATTATGTTTGGGTGTGCACTATACTCAAGAATATATGGTACATCCAAACACCCGAGCCCCTCATGACACTGATGTAATGGATACATACAAAATCCATCTCCATCAGCTTGCAAGGGGAGGTAATTGTTTGTTTCAGTCTGAGGAAGGGAGGCGTCATCTACAAGGGAGGTAACTCGCCGAGTCAAATGGAAAGATCTGTTCAAGCTATATTTTCCCAATGACCTACTGCTAGTAATGAAGCTGCTAAAGATAAATGGCATATTGATATCAAGAGTCATCGTTGAGCTCCACATGTAAGGTAACAATGTATGCTAGGATTGCAGATAATATGTTCAGCTGAAAACGACATATAGACAAAATTGTTTATGGATAGAATATGCACATCTGTTTGTTCACTGGCACACAATGAGGCAGATAATGACTTGTGTCATGTAAACTGTCAGGCAGATGTGTTGCAGGTGCCCCGGGGCAGTGTTGAGCATGACCGTCAACCGTATGAACCAGCCCTGCACTCTCACACACAACTGTCAACACTGTCACTTCTTCTTGCTTTTCCTGGATGAATCTGAGTTTGGCTTTGAGTCTGCTGGCATGGATGTGCGTTGCTCCTCTAGTCGACTGGATTGCACACGCTGGATCAGGTTGAAGAAGTCTTCGTCGGGCACGGTGGGAGCGGCTGGCCGCTGGGGCAGAGCACTTCTCTGGTCCTCCAAGCGAGATGCCTGTTGAGAGAGGAGCCCATAGTTATGTTGTCCACTATCAATCCTAACCACACACAATGGTAATAAGGAGTCCATTTATACCACTTGACCTCTCTATCTAATTAAAGTACCCAATACCTGTCTTGCTTGACCTCTCTATTTCATTAAGGTACCCAATACCTGTCTTGCTTGACCTCTCTGTTTAATTAAGGTACCCAATATCTCTCTCACTTGACCTCTCTGTTTAATTAAGGTACCCAATACCTCTCTCACTTGACCTCTCTGTTTAATTAAGGTACCCAATACCTCTCTCACTTGACCTCTGTTTAATAAAGGTACCCAATACCTGTCCTGCTTGACCTCTCTATTTCATTAAGGTACCCAATACCTGTCTTGCTTGACCTCTCTGTTTAATTAAGGTACCAATACCTCTCTCACTTGACCTCTCTGTTTAATAAAAGTACCCAATACCTCTCTCACTTGACCTCTCTGTTTAATTAAGGTACCCAATACCTGTCCTGCTTGACCAGTCTGTTAAATTAAGGTACCCAAAATTATGTATTTCTTACAAATTCTATATTTTAAAGACATATTTTATCTCACTTAGTGCACTTCTATCTCACTAACTGCACTTCTATCTCACTTACTGCACTTCTATCTCACTTACTGCACTTCCATCTCACTTAGTACTTTTCTATCTCACTAACTGCACTTCTGTCTCACTTACTGCACTTCTATCTCACTTAGTGCACTTCTATCTCACTTAGTACACTTTTATCTCACTAACTGCACTTCTGTCTCACTTACTGCACTTCTATCTCACTTACTGCACTTCTATCTCACTTAGTACACTTTTATCTCACTAACTGCACTTCTGTCTCACTTACTGCACTTCTATCTCACTTACTGCACTTCTATCTCACTTAGTACACTTCTATCTCACTTACTGCACTTCTATCTCACTTTGTGCACTTCTATCTCACTTACTGCACTTCTATCTCACTTTGTGCACTTCTATCTCACTTACTGCACTTCTATCTCACTTAGTGCATTATATCTCACTTAATGCACTTCTATCTCTCTTACTGCACTTCTATCTCACTTAGTACACTTCTATCTCACTTACTATACTTCTATCTCACTTAGTACACTTTTATCTCACTAACTGCACTTCTGTCTCACTTACTGCACTTCTATCTCACTTACTGCACTTCTATCTCACTTAGTACACTTCTATCTCACTTACTGCACTTCTATCTCACTTTGTGCACTTCTATCTCACTTACTGCACTTCTATCTCACTTAGTACACTTCTGTCTCACTTATTGCACTTCTATCTCACTTAGTGCATTCTATCTCACTTAGTGCACTTCTATCTCACTTACTGCACTTCTTTCTCACTTAGTACACTTCTATCTCACTAACTGCACTTCTGTCTCTTACTGCACTTCTATCTCACTTACTGCACTTCTATCTCACTTAGTACACTTCTATCTCACTTACTGCACTTCTATCTCACTTAGTGCACTTCTATCTCACTGCACTTCTATCTCACTTACTGCACTTCTATCTCACTGCACTTCTATCTCACTTAATGCACTTCTATCTCACTTAGTGCACTTCTATCTCACTTACTGCACTTCTGCTAACGTTTCCTGACACCCAGTATGAATGATATTTACAACATGCATCCTTCATGTTCTAGGCCTCACTTGGGCCTTGATTTAGTGTCAAAACGTATTTCAGAAGAAAATTATGGAGATATATGCGATATCCCTGGGTGTCTATGCTCAGCGAAACTACGAAATCTAAGTGCACTTCCATGTGTCTGAATACCTTTGAAATACAAAAGACAGCTCTAACCTGACATCTCATCAGCATCTCAAAGAAGTTGTCATCTGGGACCGTGTCGTCGGACTTCTGCTGGAGTAACTGACCAATGACAGCCTGTGAACTGAGGCCGGGAAATGAGGGACACTCTGCTCGCTGATCGTTCATGCGTGATCCCTGGATGCCTGCCACCATGTCCAGGAAATCATCTGTGCCAGGGGAGGCAACTGCAATGGGTAAGTAAATTTCTTCTTACTTCACCAACTAATCACATCATAAACAAGGGGACTTTGAAATTTATCAACAATGGTAATAATTCTCAGAATGTTACCATTAGCACTTGATTGCCTTTTTTCTTGAAACTTATTTCAGAATTCACAGGTTGACCTCAATAAAAAAACAACTTCAAGGACTGTGTTCGCCCTTCTACCCTGTGATTTAACAAATGCTATTCACAGAGTTATCTCCCCTAGCAGAAGCTCTGGAAAAACCTCACTTTTCTTGGGTACCTTAAAGGCACAATGTCAAACCTCACTTCTCTTAAAATACATAATGCATTTCTCTCAATAATAATAACTATCAGTCCTCAGGGAAGCTACCATATAATTTATTTTTTAAAAATTTACGTATTTAGATTACAATATAAATTAAACATTATTTCAAGTGAACCCCACAGAGTTATGTCCCTTGGAACGCTCTTTCTGAATATCGTTCGCACAACGTGTGATTGAAACCAGTTCAGCAAACACCAACAACACTGCGTGCAACAGTTTTCTATGTAGAGAGCAATTGTTTACATTCGATATATGGCAAGTGTTATCTGTTTGGAAGCTGTTTGCCTCGAAGTTTCAAGTATCGATTTCAGGCAAGTCGTAAGGGATAATAAGGCTTTTATTGCATCAACAGGAAGCTAAAGTGAGTGCATATGCCTCAAGTGTTATCAACAGTGAAAATCATCTTTAGAATACTACCTCTAATGCTTAAGGTTGAGGCAGACCCATCCATCCGCTAGTAATCCCCGAGGACCTTATTCTTAAAGGCACAATGTCACACACTTTCGACAATATTTTGACCTATATTTTATATATTCGTAATTCTAAAGAATACATTCCCACTTACACAGGGTTGTTGAATCCCACATAAGGCTTGGTGGGCCCAGAGTACCCAATCACAAATAAGGGAAACCAACAACAACACTGACTAAGTATTAACAGATAATAATAATAATAATAATAATAATAATAAGTGCATATATATTACCCCGGATAACCCAAGCTGCCTGTGAGGCACTTGAAGGAAATAGTCACATGACATGTCCCACAGACCTGTGTTTGGTTGTTATGACAACACTTCAGAATCCCTTTTGCTTATAAAATGGGAGAATATTTTTTATGTCCTTTCCGGTTAACGTAACATCTGCTGGCTTCCTGATTATGTCACTTCCGGTGAGAAAACAGAATTATATCTCTGAACATATAGACCCTGCTTGCTGTCTTGGCCTTAGTCTACCATACAAGGTGTTAGACTCACGTAAGGAGCAAGAAACATCCATTTTTAGACAACAACCAACCTATGAGTTACAAGGTCAAGCAGTTGTCCAATCCAAGTGTCCAGATGTCCAATCTAGAAAAGCATCAATTCCAGGTATCCCCACTGTTTTGTGTCAGGCCGAAGCTAGGCTGAGATAATGGACTTGGCAACATCCAAGGACCCCAAGTCGTGCCAGTAGTGAAGGTCCAGTGATACATCTTAGAAAGACGTTAACATGTTGGACAATGTCCACAGTCAGGCAGGCATGATCCGTTCTAGTGATAGAGTCTTTCACAAAACAAAGAGATGTCGAGATGGAGACTTATCTTCTGCCATGGAGTATTTAAGTTTGATGGTTTTATAGGAAGAAATCATTGGACTTCAATTTTTTTAAATGCAAATCAACCTGCAGATTCAGCGACAAGTTTCAGGCAAATGGGCAGTCATAGCAGACTTTGTACAACTACAATTGTATTGAACAAGTAACTGATATTTCCATATTTGTGTCTAGTAATGGTGGTTAAATATGTAAAGTGGTATCAAGTGAACATAGGACTGCTTGCGTCACAATAATTGAACACCACCACCACCCACACCTGTCAGTCTTACTGGTTTCATCATTACATTGTTATCTTTCTAAATTCCCCAACCCTAATATATATACTCTACACAAAAGTTGTCATCCATAAAAAGTGTCACGTTCTTCCAACTTCATCATGCCTTTCAAAGACTTTGTTCTCCCACAGAAATATTCATAATTAAGTTGTCATTCTAATATAAAGTCTTCATACACTGTTTAATGTCAGTGCTCTATCTCCAATATAAATGTGACCTTGGTATCAGACACAACGAGGATGAATGACAGGTATTGAGGTAATCGCTGTCTTCATATAATGGAAAATGGATCAAATTTTCATGAATTAAATTGAAAGTTTGTTTTAACCTTGTTTTCCAATTTGAAATCTGGTGTCTTTGGAGATCAACCAAGGCTCATGTAACCAGGTTGAAATTCCAGTCATGAATACCAAGACCTCTCAAAAACATACTAATCATTTCTAAAGTAAGTACCACCATGACTTCATGTAAAACTAAAGTAAGTACCACCATGACTTCATGTAAAACTAAAGTAAGTACCACCATGACTTCATGTAAAACTAAAGTATGTACCACCATGACTTCATGTAAAACTAAAGTATGTACCACCATGACTTCATGTAAAACTAAAGTAAGTACCACCATGACTTCATGTAAAACTAAAGTAAGTACCACCATGACTTCATGTAAAACTAAAGTAAGTACCACCATGACTTCATGTAAAACTAAAGTAAGTACCACCATGACTTCATGTAAAACTAAAGTAAGTACCACCATGACTTCATGTAAAACTAAAGTAAGTACCACCATGACTTCATGTAAAACTAAAGTATGTACCACCATGACTTCATGTAAAACTAAAGTATGTACCACCATGACTTCATGTAAAACTAAAGTAAGTACCACCATGACTTCATGTAAAACTGAAGTATGTACCACCATGACTTCATGTAAAACTAAAGTAAGTACCACCATGACTTCATGTAAAACTAAAGTATGTACCACCATGACTTCATGTAAAACTAAAGTATGTACCACCATGACTTCATGTAAAACTAAAGTATGTACCACCATGACTTCATGTAAAACTAAAGTATGTACCACCATGACTTCATGTAAAACTAAAGTAAGTACCACCATGACTTCATGTAAAACTAAAGTAAGTACCACCATGACTTCATGTAAAACTAAAGTATGTACCACCATGACTTCATGTAAAACTAAAGTATGTACCACCATGACTTCATGTAAAACTAAAGTAAGTACCACCATGACTTCATGTAAAACTGAAGTATGTACCACCATGACTTCATGTAAAACTAAAGTAAGTACCACCATGACTTCATGTAAAACTAAAGTATGTACCACCATGACTTCATGTAAAACTAAAGTATGTACCACCATGACTTCATGTAAAACTAAAGTATGTACCACCACATGACTTCATGTAAAACTACTAAAGTATGTACCACCATGACTTCATGTAAAACTAAAGTATGTACCACCATGACTTCATGTAAAACTAAAGTATGTACCACCATGACTTCATGTAAAACTAAAGTATGTACCACCATGACTTCATGTAAAACTAAAGTATGTACCACCATGACTTCATGTAAAACTAAAGTATGTACCACCATGACTTCATGTAAAACTAAAGTATGTATTACCACGACTTAATGTAAAACTGTCAAACTACCAAACAACAGTACTCAGACGTTTCAACGTAGATTCTTTTAACTTGATAACGGAGTAAGAATCTACACCAACATGTCGGTCTATGCAATAAACAAGAAGTTGTCATCCATAGAGCTGTATGCTTCATTACTTCCATGTTGACTGGCATTGATCTTATATCTAATCCAGCTATACGTTGAAATATCCTTCACAGGTATAGCAGGTGGTGGTGGTGGTGGAATTGGGTTTAACATCGTGCTTGAGAATATTTCGCTCATATGACGACGTGCATGTGTGTGTATGTGTATGTGAGGCTGCTTGTACTAGCCCAGACTGAAGCTGGTTTTATAGTGCTAGCCCACTGAGATACCATGCCGCAGTGAAGCATGAATATCCCACTCAGACACATTATACTGACTCCGAGACGACCAGTCCTTGTTGTACCCATTAATGCCGAGCGCCAGGCAGGGACCAACAAGTACCATATTTTAACGTCTTTTGGTATGACGCGGTCGGGGATCGAACCCGCGACCTTCCTCACTCCGGGCGGACACTCTAACCACTACACCACGGAGGCGGTCAGGTATAGCAGGTACATCAGATATAAGAACATCTTTCAGTCAAGCAAATAGTCAAGAAAACCAGGTACTGTGGCACTCGTGAAACTCACATCTGACCCAAAACAATTACATAAGAGTTTAGCTCAAACAAATTGGAACAAAATTATGTGTTTGTTCAGTAGAGACTCTATGCTTTCACCTTGTGAGGACAGGGATTGACCGTTGGGTTGAGGTTGGGTGGCGGGGGTGGAAGGTGTGGCAGGTGTCGGTTCTGACAGACGAAAGGAACATCTCTGGTCATCTATCCTTCGACTCTGGAACCGACTGAGGAGATCAAAGAAGCTGTCGTCATCAGAATTCTCATCCTGAAACAGCAACAACAGAGTGAGTGAGTGAGTGTGTATAGAAGGTGTTCATGTATTCATACATTCAACCTACAAGGCAGTTATACTTCAAGCTCCTAGGCATTCACAGACAAGACACAACGCCTTTCTATTCCAAGCTACGAGGTGTCAAGACACCTGGCATTCACACCTTTAGCTACTACATATTCACATCTGCAAGCAGTCATGTGTTCACACCTTTAGCTACTACATATTCACATCTGCAAGCAGTCATGTGTTCACACCTTTAGCTACTACATATTCACATCTGCAAGCAGTCATGTGTTCACGCCTTTAAGACTTCATACCTCAAAGCCACCAGGGGCTGACTTTGTCAAGCCACCAGCTAGTCACAAATTCAAGACACCAGGCATTCATTTGTCAAGCCACCAGAGTCACTTTGTCAAACCACAAGGCATTCACTTTGTCAAGCAAACTGGTAGTCACACTTTCAAGCCACCAGGCAGTCACTTTGTCAAGCCACCAGGCGATTACTTTGTCAAGCCACCGGTGATCACTTTGTCCAGCTATCTGGTAGTCACACCTTCAAGCCACCAGGCATTCACTTTGTCAAGTCACCAGGCGATCACTTTGTCCAGTCATCTGTTCACGCCTTTAAGACTTCATACCTCCAAGCCACCAGGGCTGACTTTGTCAAGCCACCAGCTAGTCACAAATTCAAGACACCAGGCGTTCATTTGTCAAGCCACCAGAGAGTCACATTGTCAAACCACAAGGCATTCACTTTGTCAAGCAAACTGGTAGTCACACTTTCAAGCCACCAAGCAGTCACTTTGTCAAGCCACCAGGCGATCACTTTGTCAAGCCACCAGGTGATCACTTTGTCCAGCTATCTGGTAGTCGCACCTTCAAGCCACCAGGCAGTCACTTTGTCAAGCCAACAGGCGATTACTTTGTCCAGTCATCTGGCAGTCACACCTTCAAGCCACCAGGTGGTCACTTTGTCAAGGCATCAGGCGATCAATTTGTCAAGGCACCAGGTGATCACTTTGTCAAGCCACCAGGCGATCACTTTGTCAAGGCACCAGGCAATCACTTTGTCAAGTCACAAGGCAGTCACTTTGTCAAGCCACCAGATGATCACTTTGTCAAGCCACCGGATGATCACTTTGTCTAGCCACCAGGCAGTCACTTTGTCAAGCCACCAGGTGATCACTTTGTCAAGCCACCAGATGATCACTTTGTCAAGCCACCAGGCAGTCACACTTTCAAACCACTAGGTGTTCACTCCTTAAAGCCAAGAAGATGACATAACTTCAAGCTACCTTGGAGTTCACGGGCAAGCAACCAGGCATTCACTCAGTCAAGGCACCAGGTACTCAAGAGTCATGGCCTAAGCATTCATACCGACAACCCAGCAGGTGTTCAAACAATCAAGCCATATTGTATTGTCGAGCCGCAAGGCAGTCACACCTTCAGGACACCAGGTGCTTCTATACACAACCTTCAGGCTAGTTGGTGTTCACACCTTTAGGACACCAGGTGGTTCTATACACAACCTTCAGGTTAGTTGGTGTTCACACCTGTTGTAGGGACACCAGCCAACAGGTCACACCTTCAACGACCTGACAGTTACTGTTGTAACAGATAGCTTGTGGATTTTCACCTTTTCTTCTTGGAGTGCGGAATCTGCAGTTTTTGGGCGAACAATGGCTGCCTTTGCCCTGGGCGTGTCCATGGACATCTCCGTGGCAATGCTGGCAGACTTCTGTACCTTGGGCCGAGCTCCTCCACCACCCTTGGCAACATTCTGCTGCTGGATAACAGTGATCATGAGACATGGATTAAAGATTTTCAACCTTGGCAAGGGCCTCTGTATATACACTTTAAAAAAACTCTTAATATATATAAAATACTCTTGTATATTATACTGACGGCAAAAAGTCAAGCAACCCCATAATTTTCAAACGTCTGGAACATGAAGTACCATTTTCACTGCCAACGCTTGATGATGACACACATATTGGTGGGTCTCTATCAACCGATACTTCAAAGGTATTAAACATCATTAAAAGACAAACTCCATGTCATTATGGTGTACTTTTAATCTGCATGATGTTGAAATGGTAATTTTTAGACAAATAAAGATCTAACAAAGTTTGGGCACACAGGCAAGTTTTAAGTGTAAGGTGGGATATGTGAGTGTTGAGCACAAACTGTTAACTTTTGTCTGTTTGATGACACAGTTTTGACAAGTCAAAATGGACATAATGACCCTCAGTAATGGGTGTAACCACCTCGGCTGTTTATCACCTCCTGACATCTTCGCCTCATTGAGAGCACTAGATTACGCATAAATCCCATTGGTAAGTTGTTCAATGCATTCAGTACAGCATTTCTAAGCTCTTGTAAGCTGGTCAGAGGTTGATCACGACGGTTTACTTGTCTACCGATCTCATCTCATACATGCTCTATCGGGTTGAGATCAGGACTCTGACTTGGCCAAGGAAGGGACTCAATTCTGTGCTCTTGTTTGGCTCCTGAACAACAATAGCACGATGTGGACGATCATTGTCATCTTGGTAGATGAATGCTGTGACAGGATTGGCGTGAAGGAAAGGAATACTGGTGTTGTCAATAATCTGATTGCGGATACTTTTCCCCTGTCATTGTTCCTTGGACAACCTTGATGTCCACCTTCTCGTCATAAGTGAATCCAGCCCATACCATTATGGAGCAGCCGCCCCCCAGCGACAGTAGGAAGGACACACTTTCGGTCAGCTCATCCTTGGCTATCCGTCTGACACGTAAACGACCGTCAACAACATACAAATGCGTGACTCATCCGTCCAAATTACTCGTCGCCAAGTTCGAATGTTCCAGTTTTGACGTTGTCTAGCCCAGAGCAATCGGTCTTGCATATGCCTAGGTGTAAGACGTGGGCGTTTGAGGGGTCCTCGAGCCTTTAATCCAGCTGCCACAAGACGTTTATTCACTAACTCACGGGACACGTTGACGCCTGTTGCTTGTGTCCACTCTTGGCGTAACTGGTTTGCTGAATGAAAAGGATTATCTTTCGCCATTCTAACCAAACGACGATCGTCACATGCACTGGTCTTCCTAGGTCGACCATGACGAGGTCTCTCCTTCACATCACCTGTCACTCTGTGTTTGGATAACAGTCTGCTGACCACTGACTTACTAACGTGAAAGTGCCCTGAAATTTGTCTCAGGGACATGCCTGCTTCCCTCATGCCTATCATCTGCCATCGTGAAGCATCTGAGATCCTGTTACCTGCCATGTTTGCAGTGTAATGACATCTACAAGACCAGTCATCAAACTTGTATTGTGCAAGTCGCGAGCGCCTTCGCGGATTTCACTATCCACGTGCAGCATGATATCTGTTCTCATTCTGTTGGGTGTGTTTGAGTGAAGTGTTCATGCATCTTTTCATTTGCAAATGCATTAGGTTCAAATCTAATTACCTGTGAAGAAATCAACATGTACATACGGGGTTGCTTAACTTTTTACCATCAGTATATATATAAATACTATCTTATCTCATGTTATGCACTTTTTCTTGTTCTTGCAACAACTATGGGATTGGAATGACCTGGAACCAAATTTCAGCCTCTCTTAAAGACCTTGCCCAAATACCCCCCAGCTCAATCTACTGCCCTTGACAGTCACAAGTAGCTCATGCCTCGGTCGACTGTTGCTTCCAGCTGTCTTTATTCTCTTGAGTTGGAGCTGGAACCACCCCAGTATGAAGACTGTTTGTTAGCTATGAAGAGTGAGGTTTATCCTTGCCCACACTTCAGCTGTATTCCTCTAGAGTATCCAAAACAAGTTGCACCCTTGTCTCTAAAAGGCAGGACATCTTCACTCACAGAGCATAAGAGAACAATAGATAGAGCTCAGGTGTGTTTGGGATGGGTGTTAAAAGAGATTAAAAACTTTGTTCTGGGTTGTTTCAACTCCTTGGTTGTTTGAACAAGAGAAAGTGCACAATTTGAGGTTGGATAAGCATCAAAAAGTACAATACTGGAAAATTTATCCCTTCAATTTGAAGCCGCTTGTGGTGGTTACCACAGTAACTCTTGAGGTAAGAACCCCAAGTTTTCATACAGTTCTAGATGACAGCCCTCAACTTGATATTACTCAAGGTACAGGTACAATATATATACTATCAAGAGGACCAAAATATTCAGGCCCATCAAACACGACACCAGCTGTGTGTGCTTAAATAGCAAAATCCACACATTTTTAGGTCACCTTTGCTAAATTATTTCAAATGCAGAGAATTAATATTAATTTTCTTCACACTACTCAAATATCACAATATAAACCAATGAACAATAAACAAGAAAACAAAGTCATCAATATCCCCCGCAATGGCAAAATACTCTTCATGAATATGTCTACGAGTTATGATTATGTCAAATATTTAGGTGTGTATATAGGAAAGTGGAAGGAGAGTATTGAAAGGTTTTTAAAGTTCTGCTCCGGAAAAGAGCACTACCACCAATTTCAGTCTATGTCAAACTTGTTGCCATGGAAATGCCAAAAATATTTTATTCAGAAATCCAAAACCAAAAGGCACCATTACACCACCAGATCTATCTATGTGCCAAGTTTGGTGAAGAAATAGTGAATGGTTTTAGAGTTCTGCTCCGGAAAAGACAAATGTGCATGGACGGACGCACGCACGGACGGAGTCCATTTTAATACCCCCCCGCAAAACGCGTATTCCAGAATACAGAACTACCACTTGACCACTGTGTGCTCATAACACAAACAAACACACTATCATAACAAACCTGGAACTAGCATGTCAACAAACCCGTAACAAACAATAACACGCTCATCCTTTCCATCTCAGTATAACTGTTCACTGCCAATCTCAACTTACACTAGGTTTCTTCAGTGTTGTCAAGTACATTATCATAGTTTTATTCAAGATTTCCTTCAATATTCTTTCTTGTGCTCAGATCGGCAATGAAAAGTAATTTCAAAACAAAATCACTCCCAGATCGGGGAAGAAATGTCTGAACAGCTGGTTGCAATGTCCGGTTATTTTACGAGGCAAGTACATACACATCAATTTTTGGGTATGCAACAGGTCTGGTATTTAGAACACAAGTACCTTTGAATTTGTAAAGCATCATGTCTGATGATGTTATTGTAAATTTGACACTGGCATTGACCAAACAAGTGAAAAGCATCCAAACTTAAAAACACTAGCACTATCATTACCACAACATGAGATAATCATGCAAAGGAATACTGGATTTTGCCATTCGTAGTGTTGCAGCATTCCATTGCCAGGGTTAAGTGTTCCAGATGCAGCATATTTAGCATTATTTTAGGGTGATACAATTAGCCTCCCTGTCTGACAAATTAAATTGTACACATCTGGTAATTTACCTTACTGAGTGAGGTTAACACAATCAGCACTGCTCCATTCTAAGGTTACACTATGTTTAACACAATTAGCACTGTAATGTTCTAACAAATGTTAACAAATCAACTAACTACCTTGTTTTTATCTGGAGTTAGTTTCATTAATTCCATGTTCTCCATACTGAATCTTCGTGCACGGTTTGGGCGACGTCCTGGAACAACAGAGATAAAAAGATCCTTAACATAACAAGACATGGTAGTTACCATGCAACAAAAGCCTGTGGTAGAACACAGACACATAACAAGGGCTTGTGGTAGAACACAGACACATAACAAGTGCCTGTGGTAGAACACAGACACATAACAAGTGCCTGTGGCAGAACACAGACACATTACAAGACCCTGTGGTAGAACACAGACACATAACAAGTGCTTGTGGTAGAACACAGACACATTACAAGAGCCTGTGGTAGAACACAGACACATATCAAGTGCTTGTGGTAGAACACAGACACATTACAAGAGCCTGTGTTAGAACAGAATCATTAGGTACCATGTAACAAGAGCCTGTGTTAGAACAGACTCATTAGGTACCATGTAACATTAGTAACAAGTGCCTGTGGTAGAACAGACTCATTAGGTACCATGTAACAAGTGCCTGTGGTAGAACAGAATCAGTAGGTACCATGTAACAAGTGCCTGTGGTAGAACGGAATCATTAGGTACCATGTAACAAGTGCCTGTGGTAGAACAGAATCATTAGGTACCATGTAACAAGTGCCTGTGATAGAACAGTTGCATTAGGTACCATGTAACAAGTGCCTGTGATAGAACAGAATCATTAGGTACCATGTAACAAGTGCCTGTGATAGAACAGACTCTTTAGGTACCATGTAACAAGTGCCTGTGGTAGAACAGAATCATTAAGTACCATGTAACAAATGACTATGATAGAACAGAATCATTAGGTACCATGTAACAAGTGCCTGTGATAGAACAGAATCATTAGGTACCATGTAACACATGCATGTGTTAGAACAGAATCATTAGGTACCATGTAACAAGTGCCTGTGATAGAACAGTTGCATTAGGTACCATGTAACAAGTGCCTGTGATAGAACAGAATCATTAGGTACCATGTAACAAGTGCCTGTGATAGAACAGACTCTTTAGGTACCATGTAACAAGTGCCTGTGGTAGAACAGACTCATTAAGTACCATGTAACAAATGACTATGATAGAACAGAATCATTAGGTACCATGTAACAAGTGCCTGTGATAGAACAGAATCATTAGGTACCATGTAACACATGCATGTGTTAGAACAGAATCATTAGGGTACCATGTAACAAGTGCCTGTGATAGAACAGAATCATTAGGTACCATGTAACAAGTGCCTGTGGTAGAACAGAATCAGTAGGTACCATGTAACAAGTGCCTGTGGTAGAACGGAATCATTAGGTACCATGTAACAAGTGCCTGTGGTAGAACAGAATCATTAGGTACCATGTAACAAGTGCCTGTGGTAGAACAGAATCATTAGGTACCATGTAACAAGTGCCTGTGGCAGAACAGACTCATTAGGTACCATGTAACAAGTGCCTGTGGTAGAACAGACTGACTATGTACCATGTAACAAGTTCCTGTGGTAGAACAGACTCATTAGATACCATGTAACAAGTGCCAGTGGCAGAACAGACTCATTAGGTACCATGTAACAAGTGCCTGTGGTAGAACAGACTCATTAGGTACCATGTAACAAGTGCCTGTGGTAGAACAGACTGACTAGGTACCATGTAACAAGTTCCTGTGGTAGAACAGACTCATTAGGTACCATGTAACAAGTGCCAGTGGCAGAACAGACTCATTAGGTACCATGTAACAAGTGCCTGTGGTAGAACAGACGCATGAGGTACCATGTAACAAATGACTATGATAGAACAGACTCATTAGGTACCATGTAACAAGTGCCTGTGGTAGAACAGACGCATGAGGTACCATGTAACAAGTGCCTGTAATCTTACCTAGAGCCACATCACTAACATCCTTCCCTCCTGCATCTCTCAAGTCGGCCAGCACGCTACAGGAACTGGAAAATTTAATGGATATCATGAGAATTTTATTTACAGCCATGCAGACATTCATCTATTGGAATATTATCAAAAAATTACTGTTCCCTGTGTCAAGTGGTGCTATCATTACCTGTTCATGTTCTCCTTGCTGTGATCTGCCATGCCTAGTGCAGAACGGAGGTCAACAAGGTTCATCTTTATGTCATCTGTCCTGTTTCATCCCCGATCTAAAAAACAACATGGAACAGACATATATCTGTTATAAAAGTGGGTTAACACACATCCCTTGCAATGTTCAGGTGAGCTAACAGGTTAGTTCCATAGAGATGTTCAGGTGAGCTAACATGTTAGTACAATAGAGGTGTAATTTTTATGGTAAAATTGATATTTTATACTTATCCTGACTCATGCTTATTTCTTATCTCCCTTCTCCTTTCGGCGGTTGAGTGGAAACTTGAATCCTTTTCAATGCCTTGAAGCAATCAGAAAATCACTACCAAGAGTAGCCTCCCTTTGCCCGGCCAAATCGGTCTGACGTGACCTGAGTCTAGCTCTCATCATTTCTCCGAAATTAAGCCCACATTACGTCTTTCAGTGAAGCCCATAATGCTGAGAGGGGACGGCCGGGAGGGTTCATCCCATGAGTCAGGATAAGTATAAAATATCAATTTTATCATAAAAATTACATATATTTTTATCCTGACTCATGCTCATTGTTTATCAAAACCGACGGAATAGGTGTACCCCTGGGATTCACTGTGGCTGTCAATTAATACAGTCTGATTGCATACCCCTGGGAACTCTTCTTATGCGCCTTATAGTTGTCTAGTTGAAATATTTGGGGACCACCTTCTCTTAAATCTTATAGATTTTGTGGATTTAGATAATCTAGTAATCTACAATTTCTAGATATCTTAAACAACCCATATATTAAGGTAAGGACTATTACCGAAACTGAGATCGCAACCCATAAGTTAAGTAAGGACTATTACTTAACAGAGTTTATATCATTCATGCTCTGACTTATCAAGTAAGACAGGTGGACATGGACTCGCTGCTGGTGGCAATGGGTCAGTTGCCTAGCCTAAACGAGTCAGTGTGATCAGGGTGAGTTTCTCAATGAGGGAGTTTTCTAGTCCTGTTGTGATAATAAGGAAAAGCCAAAATGTCATGTTAGTGACATAAGGTCTTACACTGACAAGCTCTGCTATGTAACTGACCCCCGCGGGCAGTCACATGTCCCCTCGTCGACGGCTTCTCCACGAGCAGCACATGGTTTCAGCGAAGCAAGGTGTGTTTTTCAACACATCACACCCGGAAACTTATCTGGCGCGTTTGGGCGCGCAAAACCTGAACATGTTGCTTTGTAGGCTCGTAAAACGACTGCTCTGATCCAGAATGAGATTGTGGTTCGAGAGACTTCAATAGTCGTGGCGGTTGAAAACGGGATGAAGAGACGTTTAAACTTTCACCTTCATGTAGCAATCCGTTGTAAGTAAATTTTTAAAGCTCTGACTAGGCATAAGTCCTCTGTGTCTCGATGTCCGAGCACTGATAATAATGCTGGTACATGAAATTGACGATCTGGTTGACCAGGTAGTTGATTCTTAGCTGTACAGTCCCATCTTAGTCCCAGGTGTGCTGCAGCATGTTCTCCTGTGTCGAATCGCATTCGTCCAAAGTTGAGTGTATGTATTTCAGACATCTGCTGCTGTAGCTAAGGCTCGGAGAAATATCGTTTTTTGAGTTAGTAGCTCAAAAGTTGTGTCTCTTAGAGGTTCATAATCGTCACTAGTGATTTTTTCCACTGCAGGAAATTGAAAAGGATTCACGTTTCCACTTAACCGTTGAAAGGAGAAGGGAGATAAGGAATAAGCATGAGTCAAGATAAGGAAAAAAAATGCTGATTTCTAAACAGTACAATGCAATATAAACACGGACTGTAGATCATCTGCAAGTGAAGGTAGATCACCATACTAGGTACCATGGGACTTACACTACTTTCAATACATTCATGGACCCTAGCTGGATATACATATTCCTTCCAACGCCGCAATTGTAGTCAAATTTAGCCGTCATATAAAATCACAAATATATTACGTTGTCAAAAAAACTGGTTAGCTTAAATTCATTGTGAATGTGTTGGGACTTAGGTATCCGCGCGGAGGACAATACATGAAGTAAAAACAAGACCTTTTATTGTTTTCGAAGAAAAAATGTAACCTTACTTTCTCTGTCCCTGAAGATTTTCTTTCTATATACATTGGATAAGCTAATACAAGCATTGTTCCTTGTCCTGGAACTGGAAGATGTGAGGTCCCGCAAATGTCCACAATTTCATCAGTTGTTTCACACTTAATGGGGGCAGTGGGGTAGCCTAGTGGTCATATTTCTAGCAAGAGTAGTAGGACATCATTGAAGACATATTCATAGCATTGACAGGCCCGGACTGGCAAGCAGGAGACACTCTACATGTTCATGACTTGGATGTCTCTTAGAAACCTGTTCATGACTTGGATGTCTCTTAGAAACCTGTTCATGACTTGGATGTCTCTTAGAAACCTGTTCATGACTTGGATGTCTCTTAGAAACCTGTTCATGACTTGGATGTCTCTTAGAAACCTGGGCCTAGATTTTCGAAGCTCTCTTAGCCCTAAGATAGTCGTAAGTTAATGTTAATGTTTGGCACTTACGACTATCTTAGCTTAAGAGAGCTTCAAAATCTAGGCCCTGTTCATGACTTGGATGTCTTTTAGAAACCTGTTCATGACTTGCATGTCTCCTGAAACTTGTTCATGTCTTGGATGTCTCCAGGAAACCTGTTCTTAATATAATCTAGAAATTACCATCTAAACTCAATTATTTCCTTTGAGACTGGAGCAAGTGTATGTGGTGTAAGTTGTCACCTCACCTCCCCGAGATATGTCCAGGTGTTTTGTTGCAAACTTGAGTGCTGCTTCATGTTCCCTAAGGCTGAGTGGGCGCTGCCCAGGCTCCAACAGGCCCGGCCCCTCCCCGACCTCGGGTCATGTAATTCTTGAGCAATTCAGATGTCTCATATGGTACTCAATGGCTTTTTTCATAGTCAATGTAGCAATGTATATGTGTTGCCCAGGCTGTAACAGGCCTGTGCCTCTAGAGCTTTGTCTTCTAGTTAAGGCCGCTATTTGTAAACTCTTCCTGAAACACAGGATGATTAATACATGAATTACCCTGGAACCCAGCAAACTGAACTTGTGCAGCAAAGACATGTCACGCAACATGTAAACTTACTTATATTGCTCTGCTGCATTACCACCCTGGAACCCAGCAAACTGAACCTGTCCAGCAGAGACATATCACGCCAGCACCTGGAACATGGAAACTTACTTATATTGATCTGCTGCAATCTCAAATTCTCCCAAGAATATGTGTGCATTCCCCAGGTTAGTGTACGCCCGACGCTCAGCTGCCTTGTCTCCAAACTCCTTAGCTATTGCCAGTCTCTGGAACAAACAGGAACACAGTTATCTGGACATCAGGTTACGTAGTAGTGGTGTGTCCTGGGCCCCGTTTTACAAAGCTCTCGTAGCACTACAACTGTCGTACGTCAACGTTACAGTATAGAAAGTACGAATGCACCCTGGTGAAATCACCTCTTCATGGAACTTGATGGCCTGGCTGAAGTTGCCCAAGAGGTAGTGGGTGTTGCCCAGGTTTCCACATGCACGGCCCTGTGCTGCCCGATCACCCAGTTCCCGCACAATGGTCAGGTTTTCTCTGTTGGAATATCAGAAAGCCACAGTATAGAGCACACTGTGACAAACTAGCTCTTCTCACTACAGTACATAATGAGCTACACACACCCTCTACATCTCACAGTGAGTTACACACACTCTCTACATCTCACAGTGAGTTGCAAACACTCTCTACATCTCACAGTGAGCTGCACACACTCTCTACATCTCACAGTGAGCTACACACACCCTCTAAATCTCACAGTGAGTTACACACACTCTCTACATCTCACAGTCAGCTACACACACTCTCTACATCTCACAGTCAGCTACACACACTCTCTACATTTCACAGTGAGTTACACACACTCTCTACATCTCACAGTGAGCTACACACACTCACTACATCTCAGTCAGCTACAGACACTCTCTACATCTCACCGTGAGCTACACACACTCTCTACATCTCACAGTGAGTTACACACACTATCTACATCTCACAGTGAGCTACACACACTATCTACATCTCACAGTGAGCTGCACAAACTCTCTACATCTCACAGTGAGCTGCACACACTCTCTACATCTCACAGTGAGCTGCACACACTCTCTACATCCCACAGTGAGCTGCACACGCTCTCTACATCTCACATTGAGCTACACTCTCTACATCCCACAGTGAGCTGCACACACTCTCTACATCTCACAGTGAGCTACACACAATCTCTACATCTCACAGTCAGCTACAAACACTCTCCACATCTCACAGTGAGCTACACACACTCTCTACATCTCACAGTGAGTTACACACACTCTCTACATCTCACAGTCAGCTACACACACTCTCTACATTTCACAGTGAGTTACACACACTCTCTACATCTCACAGTGAGCTACACACACTGTCTACATCTCAGTCAGCTACACACACTCTCTACATCTCACAGTGAGTTACACACACTATCTACATCTCACAGTGAGCTACACACACTATCTACATCTCACAGTGAGCTACACACACCCTCTAAATCTCACAGTGAGCTGCACACACTCTCTACATCTCACAGTGAGCTACACACACTCTCTACATCTCACAGTGAACTGCACACACTCTCTACATCTCACAGTGAGCTGCACACACTCTCTACATCTCACAGTGAGCTACACACACTCTCTACATCCCACAGTGAGCTGCACACGCTCTCTACATCTCACATTGAGCTACACTCTCTACATCCCACAGTGAGCTGCACACACTCTCTACATCTCACAGTGAGCTGCACACACTCTCTACATCTCACAGTGAGCTGCACACACTCTCTACATCTCACATTGAGCTACACTCTCTACATCCCACAGTGAGTTACACACACCCTCTACATCCCACAGTGAGTTACACACACCTCTACATCTCACAGTGAGCTACACACACTCTCTACATCTCACAGTGAGCTACACACACTTTCTACATCCCACAGTGAGCTGCACACGCTCTCTACATCTCACATTGAGCTACACTCTCTACATCCCACAGTGAGCTGCACACACTCTCTACATCTCACAGTGAGCTGCACACACTCTCTACATCTCACATTGAGCTACACACACTCTCTACATCTCACAGTGAGTTACACACACCCTCTACATCCCACAGTGAGCTGCACACACTCTCTACATCTCACAGTGAGTTACACACACCCTCTACATCTCACAGTGAGCTACACACACTATCTACATCTCACAGTCAGCTACACACACTCTCTACATCTCACAGTCAGCTACACACACTCTCTACATCTCACAGTGAGCTACACACACTCTCTACATCTCACAGTGAGCTGCACACACTCTCTACATCTCACAGTGAGCTACACACAATCTCTACATCTCACAGTCAGCTACACACACTCTCTACATCTCACAGTGAGTTACACACACCCTCTACATCTCACAGTGAGCTACACACACTATCTACATCTCACAGTCAGCTACACACACTCTCTACATCTCACAGTCAGCTACACACACTCTCTACATCTCACAGTGAGCTACACACACTCTCTACATCTCACAGTGAGCTACACACTCTCTACATCTCACAGTGAGCTGCACACACTCTCTACATCTCACAGTCAGCTACACACACTCTCTACATCTCACAGTGAGCTACACACACTCTCTACATCTCACAGTCAGCTACACACACTCTCTACATCTCACAGTGAGTTACACACACCCTCTACATCTCACAGTGAGCTACACACACTCTCTACATCTCACATTGAGCTACACACACTCTCTACATCTCACAGTGAGCTGCACACACTCTCTACATCTCACAGTGAGCTACACACACTCTACATCTCACAGTGAGCTACACACACTCTCTACATCTCACAGTCAGCTACACACACTCTACATCTACATCTCACAGTGAGCTACACACACTCTCTACATCTCACAGTCAGCTACACACACTTCTCCCTCACAGTCAGCTACATCTCACAGTGAGCTACACACACTCTCTCTCTACATCTCACAGTGAGCTACACACACTCTCTACATCTCTCACACATGAGCTACACACACTCTCTACACATCTCACAGTCAGCTACACACACTCTCTACATCTCACAGTGAGCTACACACACTCTCCACATCTCACAGTGAGCTACACACACTCTCTACATCTCACAGTGAGCTACACACACTCTCTACATCTCACAGTGAGTGAGCTCTACACACTGCACTCTCTACATCTCACAGTGAGCTACACACACTCTCTACATCTCACAGTGAGCTACACACACTCTCTACATCTCACAGTGAGCTACACACACTCTCTACATCTCACAGTGAGCTACACACACTCTCCACATCTCACAGTGAGCTACACACACTCTCTACATCTCACAGTCACCATGAGCTACACACACTTCTCTACATCTCACCATGAGCTACACACACTCACACTCTACATCTCACAGTGAGCTACACACACTCTCTACATCTCACAGTCAGCTACACACACTCTCTACATCTCACAGTGAGTTACACACTCTCTCTACATCTCACAGTGAGCTGCACACTCTCTACATCTCACAGTGAGCTACACACACTCTCTACATCTCACAGTGAGCTACACACATTCTACATCTCACAGTGAGTTACACACACTCTCTACATCTCAGTGAGCTACACACACTCTCTACATCTCACAGTGAGCTACACACACTCTCTACATCTCACAGTGAGCTACACACACTCTCTACATCTCACAGTGAGCTACACACACTCTCTACATCCCACAGTGGGCAAGACAAAATGCATTTTTTACTTGTCCGCCATCTAATACTAACTGTAACTGTACCCCTGCTCACTACATTACATAGTGATCTACACGTTCTCTACATCTCACACAGACCTACAAAGACTCACAACAGTACATAGTGAGCTAAACACTCTCTACGTCAGACAGTGAACGACACACACGCTCTACTTCTCATAACAAGCTACACACTCTCTGCATATTGAAGAGAGTTTAAATACACACTTCATAACTTACTCATAGTATTTTGCAGCCTTCTGCAGACAGTCCTTGACTTGTGGAGGGAACTCTCCTGGGTCTTGGTGGCCACTCCGCCCAACATGCTTCCCTTTTGCATGGTAAACATTGCCAAGGTTGTACAGAGCCCGTGCCTCGCCCACCTACAACGGACAGCATTAATACAGTGTAACATAGCCAACATGGCCCAGGTTACAGTACAGAGCAACTGCCTCGCCCACCTACAACGGACAGCATGAATACAGTGTAACATAGCCAACATGGCCCAGGTTACAGTACAGTACCATAGCCCCTGCCTTGCCCACCTACAACGGACAGCATGAATACAGTGTAACATAGCCAACATGGCCCAGGTTACAGTACAGAGCAACTGCCTCGCCCACCTACAACGGACAGCATGAATACAGTGTAACATAGCCAACATGGCCCAGGTTACAGTACAGTACCATAGCCCCTGCCTCGCCCACCTACAACGGACAGCATGAATACAGTTTAACATAGCCAACATGGCCCAGGTTACAGTACAGTACCATAGCCCCTGCCTTGCCCACCTACAACGGACAGCATGAATACAGTGTAACATAGCCAACATGGCCCAGGTTACAGTACAGAGCCCCTGCCTTGCCCACCTACAATAGACAGCACGAATACAGTGTAACATAGCCAACATGGCCCAGGTTACAGTACAGTACCATAGCCCCTGCCTTGCCCACCTACAATAGACAGCATGAATACAGTTTAACATAGCCAACATGGCCCAGGTTACAGTACAGCAGAGCCCCTGCCTTGCCCACCTACAATAGACAGCATGAATACAGTGTAACATAGCCAACATGGCCCAGGTTACAGTACAGTACCATAGCCCCTGCCTTGCCGACCTACAATAGACAGCATGAATACAGTGTAACATAACCAACATGGCCCAGGTTACAGTACAGTACCATAGCCCCTGCCTTGCCCACCTACAATAGACAGCATGAATACAGTTTAACATAGCCAACATGGCCCAGGTTACAGTACAGTACCATAGCCCCTGCCTTGCCCACCTACAATAGACAGCATGAATACAGTGTAACATAGCCAACATGGCCCAGGTTACAGTACAGTACCCCTGCCTTGATGCCCAGCAATCTTAATACAGTGTAACATCACAGTACCACTTACAACCTACAATAGAAGCATGAATACAGAATATAGGCAAATTCTTGTCAGATAAGAGCATAGACGATTGAGGTGGATTCTTGTCAAAACGATTGTTGTCAAAACAGTGTTATGCCTTAACCATTAAAATTTGTGTGAAATCAACAAAATATGGCATACAATAAACAACTGTATAACACACTAGTCGGTTATACAAGTCAACAAAGATGGCAGCAAAGTAATTACAATGGCAGTACACAACAGACATCCACTACACGACTCAAAGGCAGGATATATTGGCAGTAACAATATAGTCCATCATAGCAACATCAAATAGCAATAACAACCCTACAGGAAGTTCTCTGCTCTGCTGGGCGAGATTAGTCTATAGCTGTTCTACAACATTAAAACACATACCGGTAATAACTTCCCCACAACTGCTTACGTAAGATAGTAATTCATTCCTCACAACTAATATTGTAAGGGAAGAGAGTTTTTATAGATGTCAACTTCTTTATTATGAGTGAGTGAGTTAATATTTAATGTCACATCGGCAATATCTCAGCCATATCGTGACGAGTTCTTTATTATGAGCAACACAATGTTTCGGAGTATATCCTTACTCCTTCGTCAGGTGACATATAAGTATTCCAAATGCATCAAATACCTCCCCTACACAAACTCTAAAGGAGACCAAAATATGTATTATAAAATGCATATGATTATTTGAGCACCCAGTCAAAGACTATATTATGTGCCTTCACGATATTCAGGTTAACTTTAGGCAGTCTAAGAAAAGAAGAAAGTTTAATTCTTTCAAAGAATATATGACCTTTCTACACCATATCCCTCATGACAAACCTAACTAAAAACTTAATCTATAATGCTTTTGTTCCCAAATGTGCTGACAATAGATACAAAATATACAGTTAAAGTGGGTGAGTGAGTTAAAGTTTATCGTCACAGCGGCAGTATTTCAGCCATATTGTGACTTAAAAGAGTTATAAACTTACGACAAATGCGCAAATCTAAAAAACCTGTCGATGAAGGACAGTAAAAACAACTAGTATATCACAGTAATAATAAATAAAACTAGCATATATCATCACTAAAATAGGATTTTAAATTAGGACAATACAATATAAACAAGAAGACAAAGTCATCAATATCCCCCGCAATGGCAAAATACTCTTCATGATTATGTTTACGAGTTATGATTATGTCAAATATTTAGGTGTGTATGTAGAAAAGTGGAAGGAGAGTATTGAAAGGTTTTTAAAGTTCTGCTCCAGAAAGGAGCACTATCAGCAATTTCAGTCTATGTCAAACTTGTTGCAATGGAAATGCCAAAAATATTTTATTCAGAAATCCAAAAGTACCAAAAGGCATCAGTACACCACCAGATCTATGTATGTGCCAAGTTTGGTGAAGAAACATTGAACGGTTTTAGAGTTCTGCTCCGGAAAAGTGCACTACCACTAATTTCTGTTTTAGTAAAACATGTTGCCATGGAAACGCCAAAAATATTTTATTCAGAATTCCAAAACTACCAAAAGGCACCAGTACACCACCAGATCTATGTACTGTAATCGTATATATATTTTCACAGGGTGCAATATTCACGGAAAGTTCACAAAAGCTCTGTTAGCGCAGTTGTTTTTTCGCGCATTTGAAACACCTGAGTGATGGTACCCATCACAATGTTTTCACAACCGATAGTCTTGCAATGATCAAAGCTAGCCGCCATAATTGAATCTTGTTTACTACAACAATCAGAGAGAGGTGGGATAAAACTTGTGTCAACAATGTGATTTGTGACTGACGTATCGCTTTGCGTGAACAAACATACAAAAGAAGACCAAGACGTCACATTTGCAATTAAACATCGCTAGAAAAGATTATTTACCTATTTAGTTCTAGTTTGTTTTTGCTAGGCATTGTCTTATATGCAGGGATTAAGATTACTGTGTACAGCGCCGGAAATAGCAATCAGCTGTGCAGTGCACACGTTCCCCTACCGGTGTTTTAGTTAAAACGTACCAGATAATATTCCGAGATGAATTCTGATGCAGTGATCTTAAAAAGATAGTATCTCAAACTGTTGTTTTATAAAGAGAAATATATTCTAGTTTTGTGTCATTTTCATTGCAGGTTGTGCTCTATAAATGTAAAATATTTATAATCATAACTAAGGTTATGCGATAGCTTTTTGGTGTATTGACAGATAGTTTTTATGCATGGAACAATTTAACCTGTCACCGATGAGGTTTCGCGCGATCTCGCTATTTCCACTGCGAAAGCAGTTTGTTGACATGTGATCGTCCAGCTACACTAATTATGAGTTTTGGCGAAACAAAATATGTATATCCATTTACTGTCAGCTACACTTCATTTCGAGACGTGAGTAGACGCAATATGTTAGTGATTGCTGTGAAGTAAGTACATTGTGTTGAGGAATTACCGATAGATGGACATCTGTGGACATTGTTTGATCACGTAATTTGTAAACATGGACTGGGAATAATTACTTTGATGTTGTTATCTGAGAGAATAAACAAATTACATGTTGTTCCTACTTGAGTATTTGTCATGACTTCACCATGAATATTTCGCTTGGTATGATTATTGGCTCACAATCTGTTTGCGCTAAAAGCGCGAAAATTAATCCCACGCGAAAATAACTACAATTACAGTATGTGCCAAGTTTGGTGAAGAAATAGTGAACGGTTTTAGAGTTCTGCTCCAGAAAAGACAAATGTGCACGGACGGACGGAGTCCATTTTAATACCCCACGCAAAACGCGTTGCGGGGGATAAAAAGGAGTGAGGATCATCAACAACTGAAGGTAGATCACCACTGGGGACATACAGTACTTTGGCTTCCTGCATGGACCCTAGCTGGATCTACAAGATCCCTTCAGCCAATGGCGATTGTACTCATATTTAGCCATAATAAAACAACAAATTTTCTATAATTAAAAAGGTGTCAGAGGCCCAGATAAGCTGCGTATCTGGGTAAAATACGCATAGAAAATTTCCAATTACGCATTGAAAAATAATTGTTGCGTACCAATTACGCATTCAAAATGTTAGATACGCAAAAAGTTTAAAGAACCACTAAACTTTGTTTTTTGTTACTCTTTTAACCATTACATATGAAAGATTTGTGGTTAGTCTTATGCGGAACACCAAATTTATTCTTTAAAAACTTGTGGGTAATTAGTACCGGCGATTAAAAGTGGCCAAAAGTCGCCTGCTTCTCTCTCGCCCGCCAGCGAAACCACAGACGGAGTTCACGTAACTCTGTCGCCAGAGCACTGCAGTGGCGTCATATGAGGAGCGATTTTCAGTTAGTTGTATAGAAAGTGTGTAGCATGCTCATCATTTTGATGATTTCGACATCAACGACGACATGCCGAATCGTTGCTTTGTCGTCAATTGCTCCTAGGGGTGGGCGATGGTGTCACCATGCACAGATTTCCACAGGACCCGCAGTTAGTGCTAAATGGGTTATGTTTGTGAGTCGCGGCGGCGTTGTGGAAGCCTGAAGCGATATCTTACTTGTGTTCAGATGCGCTTCCGGAAGTTAAAGAATCAAAACTACTTACTAGTTGTAGTAAAATATGTATATGATTGATGACCATAAAGATTTTCCATGACACAACTTGTAACATAGCGATTTCTTCCTCGGAAGTGAGGTTGTGGTCGAGTAACAATAATATTGTAAGTAGTATTATATTGACACCCACCTGGCTGCCAGGAGAGAAATTGTTATGTTATACGCTATGTCATGCAAAATCCTATTGGCCATCAATAAAATAAATATTTTACTACCAGTAGAAATAGTTTTGATTTTATACTTCGGTGAAAACAAATCTAAATAGCATTTATCCTCAGACTGGCGGATGTTCCCGACAGAAGTATGCCATTTTTGAAAATCGTAAAGTCTGTTAGAATTAATGAGATTATAGTTTGTTTTCATCAAGTTAGAAAATCAAAACTAC